TTAAAAAACTTATTGATTGATTTTAGGGAGAGAGAGAGAGAGAGATTGATTGATTTGTTGTTCCACTTATTTATGCATTCATTGGTTGCTTCTTATATGTGCCCTGATTGGGGATCAAACCCAGAACTTTGGCTTATTGGGCCGACACTCTAACCACTGGACATAACCGGTCAGGGCTTAACTATTTTTAAGTGTACAGTTCAGTGGCCTGAAGTACACTCACATTGTTGTGCAACCATAGAATCCTCTTGTTTTTAATGTGATTTAAAATATTTAATTGCATTTTAATTTAATTTGTATGGTTTACTAAAAATTGACTAAACTATTAATGGTTTACTAAAACAAACAAAAATTGTTTAAACCCTTTGTCAGACCACTTGTGTCTATTTCTCTGGACTGGGAACTGCAGTGACTGTTAGTATGAACTGGGTCAAGTTCTAAGCACTTTTGAGCTCTGCTCCTGGGAATAGTTCTCAGAAGTTAGGGCTGGGCTGAAGGGAATTTGGGAATTGTCCTGTCCAAGGGCCTCAATTTACGTGGATTTCTATTCAGGCATCAACCCTGACTGAGGAACTAGAGTGGGTACTAGAGGATGGATGCAGCCAGAGTGGCCAGGCCACTGTCTTTCCCAGTGGACCTCATGGCTGTCCAGAGGAGGACGACACAGGATGGTAGGGCAGTGGGTTCAGTTGGCTGGAGAGCAGGAGAAAGGTGCAGATTTGCAGACGATGAGGTAAAAAATGTAGCCTGGGACCAGATTTTGAAGGGTTTCAAATGACACAGAGAAGAGTTCACATTTTATTTTTCTACTGGTAACGGAGTCCGTGGGGTGGGAGTGGAACTGAAGTCCGATCTTACACCAGGGAGTAACACTGTTGTTAGACGTGCATTTCAGGGTGAGCACCGGCAGCAGTGTAGGCGGGAGGGGCACAAAACAGGACTGGGGTGGGCGTCCATGAGAGGCCTGTTGCACTTCGTGGCTGGCAAACATGAACCATCTTTAAAAAAAGATCGCACGTGAGAAAACCAAGTCCACAGCCCAGCCTCCGGTTCTTTCTGAGAGACTGCGATAGGAATTGCATATCAGAATGTGCTGTTTCCCTTCAAATAAGCCCCCTCCCACCTTGCCTGCCTTCTTTTCCTCACTCCATTGCCAGTTTCCCCAAGGCCTTGCTGGAGGAAGGTCCCTTCTCTAAGAATATTACTGTGTTTAAGAGTGAAACTTGTTAGAAAAATGTGAAGCATTTCTAACGATGCCACCTCCACCCCAGCAGCCGGCTTTGCAATGCTATCTTTGTGCCTTCAGATAAAGAGATCAAAGTTTCTCCAAGATCTGATCCCCTCGGCTGATTTACATAAGGAGGAGTGGGGGTGGGGAGAATAGGATAGGCATGATAGGATACAGATGGAAGTTTCTGTGTCAAAGGTGAAGTCGTCTCAAGAGAGGGAGAGAGGGAGAGAGGAGGGAGGGAAGAGAAGAGAGAGAGAGAGAGAGAGAGAGAGAGAGAAGAGGAAGAGAGAAAGAAATATCAAAAGGTGGCCTCCTGTAGGGTTTTCCGTTATGGCTGTAGCATTAAATCACTAGCAAGGGAACCAGCCCTATTCTCCGGCTGTGGGATCAGACACAAAATCTAGGGCAGAGTGACCTCAATCTAGAGCGGCGATTTTCAACCCTTTTCATCTTCTGGTACACATAAGCTAGTTACAAAAATTCTGCAGCACACCAAAATATATATTTTTTGCTGACCTGACCAAAAAAAAAAAAAAGTATAATTTTGATTCGTTTACACTGGATGGCTATTGTGTTGGCTGTTGTCACTTACTTGACAATCTAAGGGGGAGAGGTCAGTAACCCTGACTAAATAGTCAGGTATTGCATGTTTTAAAAATTCTTGCGGCAAACTGGTTGAAAATCGCTGATCTACAACCCTGAAATGCCTCTGCTGGAAGCTGCCTGTAGGCCTATCTGGGCTAACCCGCCCTTTTAACAGATGTGGGAGATGGCATCTCAGAAGTGGCAGACAAGTGCTCTTGGCTTTTTTAAAAGATTGAGTTATGTTTGACATATAATGTGTACATGTAAAGTGTACAGAATGTTAATTTGATACCTAAATATTGTCATTGTAGTGACATTAGCACCTCTATCATGATAAATAATTATCCTTTTTTTTCATGGTTGGAATTATTAAGGTCTACTCTTTTAGTAAGTTTGATGATTATAATACAGTATTGTTGTCTGTATTCACTATACTGTGCATTAAATCTCTAGGGCTAAAAAAATACATCATTCAATTAACCAATCAAATCTGTAGGCCTTAGTTACTCTTTGTTGTAAGTGCTCTTGGCTTTCTGTCCAGTGTACTTTTCATAATCTCCTCCTGCTTTCATCCACTCAGTATGTGTGCATGTGGTTATGGGTTTATAATAAAAAAAAATTGAGAGATGAATAAAATTGAACAGAATGTGCCCTAAAGTGGCTGTATTTTAAAAATGTACCAATTCAGCCCTAGGTTTGGCTCAGTGGATAGAGCATCAGCCCATGGACTGAAGAGTCCCAGGTTCGATTCTGGTCAAAGACACGTTTCTCAGTTGCAGACTCAATGTGATCCCCAACCAGGGTGCGTGCGGGAGGCAACCAATCAATGTGTCCCTTTCACATCGATGTTTTTCTTGCTCCATCTGTTCCCCTCCCTTCCACTTTCTCTAATAATCAATGGAAACATATCCTCAGGTGAGGATTAAAAACAAACAAACAAACAAATAAATAAAAACGTACCCATTCAGAAAGAGCCTGAGTCGAAGTGCTCAGCCATTAGGCAGAGCTGGGGCTTGGGGGAACCAGTCTCCATACGGATCAGTTAACTTTTTACTCTAGTGATCCTCATCCATAGCTGAATATTAGAGCCACCTGGGGCAGCCTTTAAAAATCCTGAAGCTCAGGCCCCAAACCAGACTAATGACATCAGAATCTCGGGGGGTGGGGGCCCAGGCAGCAAGATTTTTCAAAGCTTCCTAGTCACGACACTAGGCAGCCAGGGTGCTCGTTCCCAGGGTCATGTGCTGAGCCTCTTACTCTGACCAACATGTCAAAATCGTTTGCAATCTTTGAAAAAGAAATTAGGGCCCTAGTCGATTTGGCTCAGTGGATAGAGAGTTGGCCTGTGTACTGAAGGGTCTCAGGTTCGATACCGGGGTTGTGGCCTCGATCCCCAGTGTGGGGCGTGCAGGAGGCAGCCAGTCAATGATTCTCTCCCATCATTGATGTTTCTATCTCTCCCTCTCCCTTCCTCTCTCCGAAATCAATAAAAAAAAAATAAATTTTTTTTTAAAAGAAAGAGATTGGGAAAGAATGTAGATAGATTGCTTGTGTTTCAATCACATAGAAAACATTTAAAGTGTACGTGTTCCTGAGGGCGGGTTTTTGACTTGGGTATTCTCTGCCATGGGACAGCTCCTTTGTTGTGTCAGGGCATGTGTGGTGATCCACCTCAATTACACCTCAAGGTCTTTGCTGCCAGGGAGGCAGTTTAGCCAATTGGTTAATAATGGGTTTCCGGAATCCAGCTCACTTTCTTACCCAGGGCAAGTTACTAAATCAGTGCAAAGTGCCTGGCAAGTCATCAACCTTGTAAAAACTGGAGCTGCTATTATTATTATTATTATTATGATTATTATTATTTATGACTTTGTCCCTTCATGCTTCCTTGACCAAAGTACGTATCCATTTCATTGGTTGATGGGCATAAGGCAGCACTGTCCAACAGAAATGTGGAAGCCACAGATGTCCTTTCACATTTTCTAGTAGTCATATTTTAAAAAGTAGAATGAAACAGGTGGACAGCCCTAGCTGGTTTGGCTCAGTGGATAGAGTGTTGGCCTGCAGACTGAAGGGTTTAAGGTTTGATTCTGGTCAAGGGCATGTAGGGGGTGTGCAGGAGGCAACTGATCGATGTTTCTCTCACATCAATGTTTCTAACTCCTATCTCTCTCCCTTCCTCTCTGTAAAAAACCAATAAAATATTTTAAAAAATAGAAGCATCTCTTTAAAAAAAACAACACCAAACAAGTGGACCTATCATTTCAACATGTAGTCAGTGTAAAAGAAGTATTAATACATTATTCATGAGTTATTTTACACTTTTTTTCTGTACTATCCCTGAAATTTGCTGTTTATTTTATTTCTCAATTCAGAGCAGCCATTCACATGCTCAACAGCCACATGAGGCAAGTAACTGTAGGTTGGATAGCACAAGTTTAATGTTTCCTTCATGTCCCCAAACCTGTACATTGTAAGTTTACATTAAATGTGTTCCTCTGGGTGGGTCCTATCTCCCAACCCCACTTCAGGACATTCGTGCTCTGCCCAGGCCTTCTCTTGTTCCAACCTGAACGCTTTTTGAAAAAAGAGGCCAGTTTTTAGCCTAATATTGTAAACCCCGATTCTTGTATGAACATCCCATGCCTTTGCAAGATCTGTCAGCCTCATTCTTGCTTCAGCTTGCCTGCTTATGGCAGGAAATTTGTGGCCATGAGAGGAAAGCTACATTTTCTGCCATAATTTTTGCAGAAATATTTGGTTGGCCTAAAAGGCAGCCTTCCCTCCCAAGGCACTGTGGGAAGTTCACAGGAGCCAGGTACCTGCAACTCTTCCCACCCAGGCCCTGCCCTACGGGGGTGGCACCCCCCCCCGCCCCCCTTCTAAGCCAAGCAGCATGAGTCATCATGGTCACTTGTTAAACCTCCCTCCAGTCTCAGAGCAGCTTTTGTTTTTTAGTTGAATTGGCAGCTTGAAACACACACACACACACACACACACACACACACACACACACACTGAACCAGGCTGCGGGCTTGGTTCATAAGCAGGAAAGCTGATTGTTTGCCATAATTACTATAATATTCCCAAACCTGGCCCTTCACTGCCATTCCAAGGGTCACTGGGTCTCTCTGCCAGGGAAGTGCTTTGTGGTTTACGGTAACTTAAGGTAGAAGGCTGGAGCGGAGTTCAGACCCTGATGAAAGGGCAGAACAAGGCAGGGAGTCATCCTTCTGTGACTGGGGGGATGGCCACAGCCCCCACAGGACTCCTTGTTTCAGCCTAGAGTTGGAGATTCAGACTCCATACGCACAAATTTACTTTTTGACCCCAATTCCCATGGTTGCACATTAGTGTAACCAGGAATGTTTTAAAATTTCTGATGCCCAGCCAAAAACCAGACCAGTGAAATCAGAATCTCCTGAGGCCTTACTCTGTGACCAGGTGTATTTATCATTTCCCTTTTCAGCCGGAACCCTATCTCTGTCCAGCAGCACTTCATTCCTCCCAGTCAGCAGGCCCAAGAGCAGTGGTTCCACACCAACACCCATCTCTGGGCTCCCACACTCCCTCCTCTGTCAGTCTAGTTGAAAAAAGACGGAGGTGGGAGTTATTTTCTCTTGAGGCACCAATCCTCACTCATCTGAACATACTTCCTTTCTGCTACAGGGAATGCAGCGATCCAGGATAACAGGGTCCCCACCAAGGCAGCTGGGTTATATTTTCCCTCTGTCTTTCTAAAAATTTTAATTAATTAATGTTTTTATTTATTGTTTTGAGAGAGAGAGAGAGAGAGAGGTGTTGTTTCACTTATTTACCCATTCGTTAGTTGATTCTTACATGTGCCCTGACTGGGGACTGAAACTGTACCCGCAATCTTGCCATATTGGGATGACACGCTAACCATCTGAGCTACCCAGACAGGGTCCCTCTGTCTCTTAAACTTTTAGTCTGTTTCACTGTCTCTTCCCTTTCAGTTTATAAATATCCTGTGTCACTATAATAGTGTCCCCCTTATAAGCAGTTTGGCTTTCCATGGTTTCAGTTACCCACGGTCAAATGTCCGAAAATATTAAGTGGAAAATTCCAGAAAGAAATAATTCATAAGGTTTAAATTGTTCGCTGTTTTGAGTAGTGTGATGAAATCTCATGCTTCATCCTACCCAGGACATGAATTAGCCCTTTGTCCAGCATATATGCTATTCTCCAGTTGGTCAATTAGTAGCCTCTCAGTTAGCAGATCAGTTGTCATGGTATCACAGTGCTGATGTTCAAGTAACCCTTGTTTTACTTAATCATGGCCCCAAAATATAAGAGCAGTGCTGCTGGCAATTCAGGTAAGCCAGAGAGAAACTGTGAGGTGCTTCCTTTAAGTGAAAAGGTGGGTACAGTACAATGAGATATTTTGAGAGAGCCACATTCACATAACTTATTACCCTCCGTTGTTATCACTGTTCTATTCAATTCGATAAGCCTGATAAGAAGAATAAGAACAATATACGCTAGGAAAAGGTAATTATTATTTACAGATAGTAATTCCAGAGAATCACTGGAAAAACAAAGCTAATCAAATAATTTAGCAAGGTTGCCTGCGATAAATCAACTCGAGGCCCAATGCACGAAATTTGTGCAAGAGTAGGCTTTGCTTCCCACAGCTGCCGGCACCGGCTTCCCATCCGGCACCCGGGACCAGGCTTCCCTCACAGCCTCAGCTTTGTCGAGAAGGACATCCAGTCTAATTAGCATATTATGCTTTTATTATTATAGATGACACACTAAGACAATAGCATTGCTTTATGCCTTTATTCTTTTACCCATTTAAAAACTTTATTGAGAACCTAAAATGTGGAGGCACTGTTTCTTAAGCTCTATGGTTACAGTTATGAGCAAAAGAAGTTTGGTCTTTGTTCCCATGAAGCTTTCATTCTAATAATAAGAATTTAGATGTTATACTGAAAAAAATTCTACTTATGATAGCCATCAAAAATATAAGATATCTAGGAATAAATTTAACCAGTAATGTAAATGACCCATCAGAATAAAACTATTCAGAGACATAAAGGGGATCTTTAAAAATGGAAAGAAATGCTATATACCTAAATTGGAAAATCTAATATGAATTTTTAATTCATTAATTTTGGAGGTACTTCCATGCAATAAATTTAGTCAGAAGTTTAAATGAGAGAAAATAGTCAAGAAAGTGTTGAAAAGGGTGTGAGGCTTGTGCTACCAGATATTACCATTTCACACATAGTCATAATAACCAAACAGGGAGGAGAGCTGCTATAAGAAGAGGCAGGCATATTGATAAAACAGAAAAGAAAGTCTAGAATAAAAAAGAATGTATTGTCTAATAAAGGCCTCTCACGTTGATAGGGAAAATGATGGATTAGTCTGGGGGATGACAAAAAGTTTCATCTAGATTCAGACCACACAGGAAGGCGGTGGCTGCCGGAAGTTATAGGAGGGTTTGGAGGCCGAGTCTAGGCTTAGCCCGGAGTTCTGCGTTTGATTAGAAATGTCTTCCAGGGGCCCAGGAGGAGGAGAATACACTTAGGCCACATATTTGTCATTCCTGGATTATTCAATAAATATCATTGGGACAACTATACAGCAATTTTTTGGGGGGAAAAATTGTTAGTTTTTTCCATCATAGAGAGCAAAATAAATTTCAGATCCCTTAGATTTAAACGTAAAAAATGAAAACATAAAATACTAGAAGAAAAAAGAGGATTTTTTTTTTTTTGTAAATGTGGTGGTGAGGGAAGACTTCCAAAGTATGATACTAAAGGCAGAAACCAGAAAGTTAAAGATTGATAGATTTAGCTATTTAATCATTAGAAAATACTGCAGAGCAGAAGTTAAAAGGAAACTGATACACTAAGAAAAAGTTCAGTATATATAATGAAGAGTTAATATTTTGCTACCTGATGTGCTCCTCAATCAATAAGAAAAATATGAACGCCCCAATACAAAAGGTAAAAAAGTTATTAATAGGTAATTCACCAAGGGAGGAATGCAAACAGCTGAAAAACATTTTTTTCCCCTCACCATTAAGCTAAGGAATGAAAATTTACACAATGCTATGCTATATATATATTTTTTTACATCTGCCAAACTGGCAAAGAAAAACCTCTAGTGTGGTTAAGAATGTGGGAAACAATATTGAGAAAATTCCAGCTAATGGGGCCTGCTCTCACCTTGGACACAAAATCCACTTTGTAATGGTTTCTAGTTACCTTTTCCAGAGAAGTTGAGCTATAGAAGGTAATATGTACTGGAGAGGTCTGCAAAAGCTGCTAAAGTAGAAGATCGCTGTAGCTAAGCTGTAATTCTGTAAATTTGTGGTTAGCTAGAATATCCTGTCAGACTGTTAAGTTCTAGTTTCCTTTTCTTGATTTAAACCCTCTCTTCCTGAGAAATGGGTCATGAATGCTTAGGCTATTGTCCCCTAATAAAGCTTTAACTTCTTGGATACCCAAATCCCTTGCTAAAATTTTGTGTATAAGCTGGCCTCACCCCAGGGTACTGATCAGACGGCCCCCTGCTGGGCACCACAGTGTTGGCAGGAGGCCAGAATGCCCACCCAAATGGGTCTCCAGTCTTCTGAGCAGGTAAGACCCACCTACTCTGCCACACAAACAATAAAACCCCCATCTGTCACCCTGCTCTGGGTGAGCAGGAGTTTTCTTCCCAACAACATTTGGTTGGGAAGTGTCCTAGAATGATGACAGTAAAGACCATTATGGCTCAGATGTGATTTTATTTTCAGTTTCTAATACCCAATAATCAATAAGATAAAAATGGTAAGATTTTGCTCTAGCCCAAGCATGTCAAACTCATGGCCTGAGGGCCGAATACCTCTTTTATTTGGTCCGTGTTAGTCTTTGAATTTGACATGCTTGCCTCACCAGTTTGGCTCCGTGGGTAGGGCAGCGGTTCTCAACCTGTGGGTCGTGACCCCTTTGGGGGTCGAACGACCCTTTCACAGGGGTTGCCTAAGACCATCGGAAAACAAATATATAATTACATATTGTTTTTGTGATTAATCACTATGCTTTAATTATGTTCAATTTGTAACAATGAAAATACATCCTGCATATCAGATATTTACATTACGATTCATAACAGTAGCAACATTACAGTTATGAAGTAGCAACGAAAAGAATTTTATGGTTGGGGGTCACCACAACATGAGGAACTGTATTAAAGGGTTGCGGCATTAGGAAGGTTGAGAATCACTGGGGTGAAGTGTTGGCCTGTGGACTGAAGGGTCCCAAGGTTTGATTCTCATTAAGGGCATGTACCTCAGTTGTAGGCTCTTCTCAGGTCCAGGTCCTGGTCGGGGAGCGTTCAGGAGGCAACCAATCTATGTGTTTCTCTCACATCGATTTTTCTCTGTCTTTCCCTCTCCCATTCTCTCTAAAAATCAATGGAGCCCTAGACAATTTGGTTCAGTGGCTAGAACATTAGCCTGCGGACTGAAGGGTCCCAGGTTTGATTCCTGGTCAAGGACACATACCCTGGTTTCGGGCTCAATCCCCAAACCAGGGAGGGTGTGTGTGTGTACAGGAGGCAGTGGATCAATAATTCTTTCTCATCATTGATGTTTCTATCTCTCTCTCTCTCTCTTTCTCTCTGAAATCAATAAAAATATAAAAAAGATAAGATTTTATTAATACTATGAAAGTGCTAATCAGATGTCTCCTGATGCCTTCCTAGGCCAAGCAGGAACATTCACACACTGCTGGTGGAAAATTAAATTAGAGGACAATTTACATATTTGACTGTGGGTTAGGGGAAAGGAAAAGACGAAACCATTAAAAATACTGATAGATTTGCTGTATAAAAACAATAATAATAAAAACCTCTTGTAGTCTAGCTGGTGTGGCTCAAGTATTGAGTGTCGACCCAGGAACCAAGAGGTCACTGGTTCGATTCCCATGCAGGACACAAGCCCGGGTTGCAGGCTTGATCTCCACTGGGGGTGAGTGCAGGAGGCAGCCGATTAATGACTGTTCTCTCTAATCAGTGTTTCTATCTATCTCCCTTCCTCTCTAAAAATCAATTTAAAAAATTAAGAAAAATTTTAAATCTGAAAAATTAATTAAAAAAACGAAACAAAAAAAACTCCTCGTGTACATAAAAAATATATGCAACATTCATGACAAAGCGCTAATACCCTGAATATAAAATGTACTCTTACAATCATTAAGATGCCCATCCCAGGAAGAAAATGTGCAAATGATACAGAGGCAATTCATAAAAGAAAAATATAAATTACGAAAATCATGAAGCCGTAACCAGTTTGGCTCAGTGGATAGAGCGTCAGCTTTCGGACTGAAGGGTCCCAGATTCGATTCCGGTCAAGGGCATGTACCTTGGTTGCAGGCACATCCCCAGTAGGGGGTGTGTAGGAGGCAGCTGATCGATGTTTCTCTCTCATTGATGTTTCTAACTCTCTATCCCTCTCCCTTCCTCTCTGTAAAAAAAAAAAATCAATAAAATATATTTAAAAAAAAAGAAAATCATGAAAAAGGTTCCATAGTATTAGAAATTATAGAATGCAAATTAAAATCACAGAAAGAAGGCTTTTTGCTGAACTAATTAGCAAACGTTAAAAAAAGTATATCATGCCCAGTGTTGAAGAAGATGCAGGGAAAAGGGCACAGTGGTGATAGTGTAGTTTGGTAAAATCTTTCTATTGAGCAGCATTTCTCAAAGAGTGGTTAGAGACCCACCCCTAGGGTTTCTTGAGACCGGTTTGAGAGGGCAAAACTATTTTCATTATTATACTAAGATGTTTGCCCTTTTCATTCTCATTCTCTCACTAGCTAGGGCACAGTTTTCCAGAGGTTATGTGTAGTATCACAGCAGATTGATGCAGAAACAGAGACGAAACTCCAGCATAGTCTATTAGGCCAGACATTAAAGAGCTTTGCAAAAATAAATAAACAAAAATAACAAACAAAAAACTGCCAATTTTCTCACTAAATATTTTTTGTTTTGGAAAATTGTTGTTTTTAATAAAAATATATTACTTAGCCCTAGCTGGTTTGGCTCAATGGATAGAGCATTGGCCTGTGGACTGAAGGGTCCCGGGTTCAATTTTGGTCAAGGGCACATGCCCTGGTTGCCGGCTCGATCCCCTCTAGGGGGTGTGCAGGAGGCAGCCGATCAATGATTCCCTCTTATCATTGATGTTTCTCTCTCTCTCCCTCTCTGACATCAATAAAAATATACATTTTAAAAAATATATATATTTCTTATGTTAGCAGTTAATGGTTTCATTGGTCATTTTAAATAAATTAATATATATAAATGTTTAAAATTCCTCTATGCTTTAATTCTAAGATAGTTAAAATGAATATAAATTACCCACACAAACAAAAGCCTTTTAAAACCTCAATAATTTTTAAGAGTGTTAAGGGAAAGTTTGAAGACTGCTGCTTGCAAGCTAAGTAATAATATGCATCTAAAGCCTTGAAAATGGAGCTAGCCTTTAATCCAGCCTTTTTTCTTTTGAATAATTTGTCCTAAGAAAATAATCAGAAATGTATCTCAAGATATTTTTGTAAATATTTCACCACTGTATGATTTAAGGCAGCAAAATGTAAAAACAACTTCAATGTCTGTAAATAGGAGATTGGTTAAATAAATTATATCAGTGGGATGGCGTACATACAGCCAATAAAAAATACTACTGCAAAATATTATTTATTATAGTGAAAATGTTCATGATTTATTAAGTTAAAAAATAGGATATAATGTAAAAATAGTTTTTTCAATAAATGGTGATGGGACAACTGGATATCTACCCGCAAAAGAATGAATTTGGAGCTCTACTCAGACCAAATACACAAGAATTAACTCAAGAATTAATGCACTCACTCTGACAAGGGCCTGGGACAAAGCCTGCAACGGAGAAAGGACAGTCTAACCTGGCTGGGAGTTGTATGTCCTGGGGACTTGGGAGTCAACCTTGGACCTGGCAGTCAACCTTGGAATAAGGTCCATTCTCATTCAAGAACTGCCTAATATCATGGAAAGATTAACAACCATGTTGCCCAAACAATGGAGTCCCACCCAGCCCTCATTGCCTACTTCCCCATGCCTGTAATTCCTACTTCCCCATGTAATCTTTGTCCTATCCAGTATAAGCAGCTGGCTTTAGGGGGGTGTAGAGCAGATTTTTGTGGATGACCTGTTGCTTTCCCATACTGCCAGCAGTTTTGGAATAAATGCTCATATATGATTTAAAAAAAAAAAGGAATTAACTCAAATACCTAAATCCAAGGTCATGAAGATTTATACTTGTTTTGTTTTAAGAATTTTATAGTGTAAGACATAAGAACCATAAAACGCTTAGAAAAGGAAACATTAGTAATGGATTAATCAATGGTTTCTTAAATATGACACCAAAAGCACAACAATAAAAGAAAAAATAGGTAAACTTTATCAAAATTAAAAACTTTTGTGCTTCAAAGGGCACTATTAAGAAAGTTAAGAGGCAACCCACGGAATAGCAGGCAATATTTACAGTCATCTATCAGGTAAGATTCTGAATATATAAAGAACTCTTACAAATAAATAATAAAAAGACAAATAACCCAATGTTTAAAATTAGCAAAATATTGGAGTAGACAGTCCTCCAAATAAAATACTCAATAAAGAAAACTCAAATCGTTACGGAAATGCAAATCAAAATCACAATGAGGTACCACTTCATGCCCACTTGGGTGACTGCAAAAAAAGAAAAGAAAGGAAACTGACAAGCCTGGACAAGAATGTGGAAAAATTGGAATCCTCATACACTGCTGGTAGGAATGTAAAATGGTGCAGCCACTGGGAAAACAATTTGGTAGTTTCTCAAAAAGTTAAGCATAGAGTAATCATATGACCCAGCAGTTCCACTGCTAGGTATATACCCAAGAAACCATAGGTTGACATAAAAACTTCAAAACAGCATTGTCCATAATTTCCCAAAGTGGAAATAACCCAATATCCATCTACTGGTGAATGGATAAACAAAAGGTGGTAGAATTATACAATGGAATATATTCAGCCATGAAAAGAAATAAAGTAGTGATACATGCTACAACATGGATGAATCTTGAAAACACTACGCTAAGTGAATGAAACCAGACACAAAAGGTCACATCCTATGTAAGTCTATTTATATGAAATGTCCAGAATAAGCAAATCATAGGGGTAATGGTGAGTAGTGAGGAGTGACTAGTAATGGGTGTGGGTTCCTTTTTGAAGTGATGAAAATGTCTGGCATAAGATAGTGGTGATGATTGCACAACGTTGTGATTATACCAAAACCCACTAAATTGTACACTCTAAAATGATGAATTTTAACCCTGGCCAGTGTGGCTCAGTTGGTTGAGTGTCCTTTCATGAACCTAGAGGTTGCCAGTTCAGTTCCTGGTTAGGGCACATGCCAGGGTTGTGAGCTCAAACCCCATTGATGTTTCTCTCTCTCTCTCTCCCTCTCTCCTGTCATTGATTTCTCTCTCTCTGTCCCTCTTCCTTCCTCTCTGTCTCAAATCAATAAAAACATACCTTTATATATAAAAGCCTAATATGATACGCGTCAACTGCTTGACCAGTCGCTATGAAGTACACTCACCACCAGGGGGCAGCCACTCCGACCAGTAGGTTAGCTTGCTGCTGAGGTCCAGCCAATTGGGACTGGGTGAGATGGGCCGGACATGCCTGGAGCCAACTTCCTGCGATCCCTCCCCGGCCTCTAAAATATTTCTCCTAATTAATTTCATTTCAATGTGCACAATTCGTGCACCAGGCCTCTAGTTAAAAAAATAAAATAAAATGGCGAATTTTATGGTGTATGAATGAATCTCAATTTAATAAAAAGAAAACTAGCACACAATGTGTAGAGTATGATCCCATAAAAAATATAATACATATATGCTACTTTAAAGGAGTCTTATACTTAACAAATAATGGAGAATGTTAACAGCAATATGGATTTTCATGTATTACATATTCATGTATGTTTCATAAAATATGTATCACCATCTTACTTGAAAAATTGGGCAGTAAAAGTTATTCAAGACAAAAATAAAGTGAAGACTATCTGTCCGTTTAGACTCTCCCAGGAGCAGTTTCTCTGGCTTAGTGAGACAGTCCAGAATAGTGAGTAAGAGGAACAGTGTGGGGACCATATCGCTGATGTTCAAATACTGGCTCTGAACCTTGGACAAGTCACCTCATTGCTGTGTGCCTTAGTTTTCTCACCTGTAAAGTGGCACCACAATAATATCTATCTCCTAGGGTTCTATAGATTCAGTGAGTTAATTCATTTAAAGTTCTTGGGACAGTAATCTGCACATAGTAAGAATTTGGTAAATGTTAGCCAGTCCTGAGGATGTTGCTTTGGACCTGCTCAGGTGCCACGTCCCAGGCTGGGAAATGATTACAACTAACCTCAGTAAGGTCCTATCAGGAGCCAGTGGGAGAAGGTTATTTTTTTTTAAGCATGAGTTTAATTATATATATTTTTATTTATCTTTTTTAAAAATTGATTTTCAGGGCAGGAGAAGGTCTCTTGAGCAAGCCCTGAAAATGCTTTCTGAAGTAGAGGCGAACGAACTAACAAATGGAAGTACAGGTTTTCATTCACATGGAGGCAGGTTTAAGAAGGTGTGTCTGTATCTCCTCAGAGGGGGTCCCTGCTTAGGGATAACTAATTTGATGTCTTCCACCACCTCAGGGACTAATTGGGTAGGGTTTGCTGTCACTGAAGTACAGCTGCCTCAGCTCCCTACCAAGGTGTACTGAGCCTGGCGGCAGATGTCTGGAGTCCTGGAAGGAGAAGTGGGGCAGCTACAGTCACCCTCTCTCTCCTTCAGTAGACACAGGTCCACCGGACATTCGGGCGTCAGAGCCCTCTCACAGAGTCCCTTCGTTAGGGCCTGAGAGCAGGGGAAGGAGAGGGAGGAGGCTTGGGTCTGCTGGGGGGGGCGGGGGGCGGCTAACTCTGCTTCCGTGTAACTCCCTGGCATGCCCCCTTTGCTTTCCCCTCTCCTGCCCTCTCCTCTTCCCCATGGAGTTGAAAGGTGGCAGCACCTTCAGAAATGTTCAGAGCAACATTCTTTGATAGTTCCTTTCTTTTTGCTTCCTCCTCAATCAAGCCCTCGTGAGTAGTTACCCAAAATGCCAAGCCGGGGCTTGTTGCTGCTGGTTTTTTAACTTCCGTTTCTCTCTCTTAGTATGTTTATGAAAGATCTATGTGTCAGAAGGCAGCCTGGTGGCAGGAGCAGAAGCAGGGATGGGCACCCACAAAGGCGGCATTATTTCCAATGGCAGCCAGAGAACTGTGGGCATTATCTTATCCCCTCTTCTCGGATGGAGGACTAAGACCCAGATAGGGGGAGCGGCGTCTCCCAGGTCACCCCCGCAGTTGATGTCAGAGGTAGGACTCCTGAGTCTCCTGCTCCTCAGCAGTGTCATTTCCCTGCTGAGTGTTGGTGCTAAAGAGCAGGAGCCCCAGGACCCCAGGCGGGTAACAAAGAAGGGGGCAGCCAGTCTCAGAATGACCAGGAAACGATTATTTCCCAAGTGCAAGAATTACCAAACAGAATGACTTTGGGAATCAGCAGTTCTCAACCTGTGGGTCGCGACCCCTTTGGGGGTTGAACGACCCTTTCACAGGGGTCGCCTACATACATCCTGCATATCAGATATTTACACGACGATTCATAACAGTAGCAACATTACAGTTATGAAGTAGCAATGGAAATAATTTTATGCTTGGGGGTCACCACAACATGAGGGACTGTATCAAAGGGTCACGGCATTAGGAAGGTTGAGAACCACTGCTACAAGTCATTCTGTATGGGAGGCCTTGTCCTGCGGAGGCTGCTGGGAACAGATCCTGAAGGTATCTGTGAGCTGTGCTGAGAAGTGTGGGTTTTCTTCTGTAGACCATGGGTAGAGGTGGGACTTGATGGCCTTTAAGCGGGGGAGTGATGTGATCAGATCGGAATTTTAGGAACGCCCCACAGGTGCCCAGGCCAGGCTAGGTGGCCAGAGACTTGGCAGCAGAGCCTTCTCTGGTTGTGACTGCCTATTTATATGTCTGGCTGAGTGCTGTCTCATTGGCAGGAGGGACAGGCCCAGAGATGCTGGACAGTATGCGGCTCACTACTACGTGGGGTAGCCAAGAGTAGCAGGGGATGAGGTAGATTCGACTCACAGACCTCAAGCTCTGGGCAAACAGTTTACTCTCCAGGTGACAGAGAGTAAGTAGCCATTCTAGAGGCGAACCTAAGATTCATTGCCCAAACTGCTCCCTGGGGTAGGGCCTGTGGTGGTGGTATATGTCGAGTGAAGCGAGGGGCCTGGGGACTGGGGTGGGCGATAAAACTCCTGTGGCTACGGCACAACAGGTGCTTAATAATGTTTAGAGAAATTATTATACACTCCTGACTGGCAGTGGCTGTGGCCTAACAGCTGGTGATAGGAATGGGGCTGTGACAAGAAACACAGCAACTCTTTGGATTAAGGATTTCCAGTCCTTAATCCAAAAGAGGACAGGATATACTCAAGCTGCCCCAAAGAGAGAGGAGAGGAATCCTGTGGGGACAAAGTGAATTACATTCTAATAGTTAAATTGGCCCGACATCTGATATTTACTGCTCCAAGTCCCTCTTCTATCCAGTCCTTTCTTAACTCCAGCTTTTTTCAGCCTTCTATTGATTTCCTATGATCTACCTTTAGTGAGGTTCCTTTAAAAATAAAAAATAAACGCCCCCAAACCCCATTTCTCCAATTCTTCCCCTTCAAGTTGTCTATTTCTTTCTTTCCTTTGCACAACCAAGTTTTGAGCCAGCTACACTCCTGTCTCCACTGCCTCACCCCAGTGCCTTCTGTCGTGGTACAATTTGGCTTCCCCATCACTCTTCTGAAATTCTACTCCCCAAGGATACCTATGACATTGAAATTGTTTTCCCCAGTATTCCCTTCAAGTGGTCTCTAAAATGACCAGAGGGAAAGGGTAAAAAGAACTATTAGAAATTAGATTTCAATTTGTGTTTTTAAAAATATATATGTATATGTAAAATATATTTTTATTGATTTTAGAGAGGAAGGGAGAGGGAGAGATGGAAACATCAATGAGAATCATCGATCAGCTGCCTCCTGCATCCTCCCCTTGCACTGGGGACTGAGTCCGCAACCTGGGCATGTGGCCTGACCAGGAATCAAACCATGACCTCCTGGTTCATAGGTTGACACTCAACACTGAGCCATGCCAGCTGGGCTTCAATTTGTTTTTTACCTTAGCTACTTACACTTAAATTTTTTTGTTTTTCTGATATATTTTCATTTAATGTTTGTATATGGTTTATAAATAAGCATGACTAGTATACATATTTGTAATTTATAAGTACTCAAAATATGTACTAAGGATATATGTTGAAGACTTGTTACTGAAGGGGTACATTTAAAGAAAATGTTTGGAGATCACTGGCTTTTAGGATAAAGCTCAAACCCTTTATTTTGGCACTCAAGGCTGTTTATAATTTTAGCCTCAAAAGATTTAATGGCTTCTTCCACCTCCTCTCCCTCCATTTACCACCTACCATACTCTAACTACAATGAGCTGCTATATATCTTCCAATTATACCAAAGCATCAAGTTATAGTTCATTTTGTACATAGATGTTCAATCAAATCCGTGAAACCCAGCAAGTTTCAGGGACTCCTCGCAAATGACTTGCCTTGGTGTTTGAGGGGTCAGCCTAATGATCCATTCCTTCCTTACCTAATGCAAACTTAATTTGTGTTTATTATTTTCAGGAGACACTTAACCCATTTCTGGGTCTTCAGTAGGGACTCCTTTACCTGTCTTGGCCCCTCAGCCCAATTGTCTTAGCTTATTTAGTATACATTGCTTTGTTCCCTACCTTTTAATCTTTCTTCTGTGCCCAAATATGTTGTGGGCAGAAGTGGGCTTTTTGCAATCCAAAGCATATATACTGTGTTGTGAGTGCTCTTTTGCTTTAAATACATGCTCTTATTTTCTTTTTCCCACAAGCCCAGATGAGTACTTTTACCACCATTTTATACTGAGGTGGAATAATTTGCCCAAGGCCACAAGTGGCAGAACTCAAAATTTGAACTCAGGTTTAACTCCAGAATCTGGGCTTCTTTCAATGACTGTGTGCCGGACCCCAGAGAGGATGTGAAGTACATGGAAGACCCCAATCTTACCTCCAGGGACTCTCAGAACCAGGTCTGTACCTCAGGAAAAAAGGAGCTGATGCCCTGTAGAGAGTAAGTCTCAACAAATACTTATCATGGATAAAGTTCTCCTCCCATCAGAATTATTCTTCATGTTAGTGATCTCCCAGAGTGCCTGGGGTTTGAGCTACAATTTGGCACTTAATCGTCTACTGTCTCGTAGTGTTGTTTCTAGTGTATCTTTGCCTAATGATCATTTTCCTTCTCTCATCAGGTCCAGCCTGGTCCCACCGGCTGATGTGGATATGAGCCTTCACAGCAGGATTTTCCTAATTCACTGGTGAGGAGAATCAGTGGCTCTCAAATCTAAGAGTTTTAAAATGCAGCCTAAATTTGGGGCAGGAACCAAAAATCCACATGTTTAACACCGAGGTCATTCTTAGGACTTAGCCAATGGCTCAGTCTACATTCCTGCCTTGGAGACTGCCCCATTTAGGCAGGATTATTTCCTGGTACAATGATTTCTCTAAATATTGCACACAGCTGAAGAATTAGGAGCTAGGCCTCTTTTGTTTCTGGATACGCCACTTGGCAGGTGTAATAACATCCTCTGACAGGCTGCTTGCCACAGGTGCCTGCTTGCCACGTGTGCCCCACTGGTACCATCCCCCATTCATTCAGTCCTGCGGCCCAACCAAGACCCTTCTATCCCTACCGCCAACCACCCTCTAGCAAATGCCCTTCCAAACCCTCAAACCTACCCTTGCCCCCTTCCGTTCCCTTCCCCCCACCTCAGCCTCTCCCTTCCTCCCCAACCCCCCCTCTCCGGGTCCCCTGGGGCTCCTCCCACCTCAGAACATTTTTTTGTTCCTGGCTAAGAGTTTTCCAGTGAGATTGGGGGTGGGGGTGGGGGCTGGTTAGGCCAGGACACAGGGCCATTCAGAGGTCCTAACGAGTGGGCATACTTTCCCATCCGAGAAAGCACGTTTTCTATCAGAGAAATGGGCAGAGGCCTCTCTGGAACTTGGGTGGAGGGAGGGATGTTACTCTCCCAGCGAGACCCTATGTCTCTGCAAATATCCCAAAGCAGGCCCAACCTGCAGTGTTCCTTTGTTGGGAGGGAGAGGAAATGGAATCTTACCAATGAGATGCAAAGGGCTTGAGAGAATACCGAGGACGGGCCCACGTTTCTCCCTGCAAATGCCTAACACTTAAAGGGAAGGGGGAAAAAAATGCACCAACAAAGAGTTTAAGATCGCAGTTCCCAGCTTTTTCAAATATGAAGCATTTTTTTTAACCAATCCACTTTTTAATTTTTAAATTCTTGACATTACAGAACTAAACTGAAATTTCTTAACATTCCACTCTTACATTTCTTTTTGACAAACAGAAATAAAATTCATGAGCCAAAAACCCAAAAACAAAACTAAAAACAGGGAAAAGCTTATAAAACTAAATATGGATCCCAGCATTAACAGCTGAACAGAGAATGTGATTTTTAAATTCTTAGCGGATGATAAAGTTGTGTAGAAACTGAACACTTACAAATTATTTAAAACCTGGAATCACTGACCAGAAATTACACATTTGGATCATGGGAAAAACAGCAGAAAGAGGTTATGAGTGGACCTACACCGTTCTAGCTGCACCCCATGCCCTTCTCAGAGGAAAGCCTGGCATTGATTAGATATTGGGCCAGACTAATACTGGCAGCAGAACCAGTGATAGTAACCTGCCTACCAGAGGAGCCTTCCACTGGGTTGGCAATTTTGATCTGGGCCCCGGACATCTGGCGGATCTCATTAATGTTGGCGCCCTGGCGCCCGATGATGCAGCCAATTAAGTTATTTGGAATGGTGAGTTCATGGGTGGTTTGAGTAGATGCATCCAAACTTGCCCAATAGCCTTTCACCTCCGGAGAGCTGGAGTCAATTCCGGCGAATCCGGTCCCGCCGTGCATCATGGCAAAGTGGGACTGTTGTCTTGCCACCTGGTTCAGCTTGGCCAGATCGAGCGGAGAAATGGTGTGTTGTCCTTGAATCGAGTAGGCGTCTAGCGGTGGTCCCTCCAGGTCATGGGTGGCGTGCGGGTAGCCCGCAGCGTCGCTGCACCGATCTTGGCCGCCCGCGCAGATGACCGGAGAGCTGGCCGGCATGGGCTGGTACGGAATGGTCATGACTCTCCCTTGCGGAGACTGGGAGAGCGTCTCCAGCATGACCAGGCAGATCTGCTTGACACACTCGGTGACGGACTGCGGCACGCCAGCGATGGTGATGGCCCGCTCGGTGGAGTTGGGCAGCATATCCCCCGCCACCTGGACCTGGGCCCCGGTGCTCTCGCGGATCTCTTTGATCTTACAGCCGCCTTTCCCAATCAGGGAGCCGCACTGGGTGGCCGGCACCACCAGCCGCAGGGTGACCGGGGGCCGGCTGGCCGCCGTGCTGTTGGTCATGGAGCTGTTGATATCTTCCTCCAGCTTATCGATGATCATCGCGAAGGCCTTAAAGATGGCATTGGTGGGGCCGGTCAGAGTGATGATTCTCTCCGGGCAATTCCCCTCCGAGATGTTGATCCGCGCGCCACTCTCCTCGCGGATCCTCTTAACCGACTCCCCTTTCTTCCCGATGATGCTGCCCACTTCCTTTCCGTGCATAAGCAGCCGAATGGTGAGAGTCACATTTAGTCCACTTTCAGTCACACCGGCATCCATGGCGAGCGGCGGGCGGCGTTCGGGGGAGTTGGGCTCGTTACGTGGTCAAGTCTTTGGTGGCTGGCGGGGGGGGAGGGGAGGTGTAGGCCCAAAACTGCCAAAACTGGGCGGGGAAGCCCGCTTTCAACCTCGCGTACCCTCTGACCCCGGAAGTGCTTGCTGCGCAGGACCCCTTGAAAAAAAAATGAGGACCCGTCTTTTTTAGGTCACAAGATTGCGCCAACCTGCAGATGGTAGTTTTACAAAAATCCTTTAACAACCTATCCTTGACTATAAAGCTCCGATGGGCAGACACTCTGAGTCCGGCAAATTTTTAAAACAAAATATTTATTTTGTTAACCCTGGTGGCACCGGCAGAGGTTTGGAAACGTTAGTGTTGTGGATGGGGGCGACACATTATTTTGCCGCCCTGCAAAAGGCGTTTGGGCCAGGAGGAACGAGGGCAGGCCTGGC